GGAATGAGGAAGGGCAAGGGGTGCACTTACTCCCCTTTCATCTTCCTCAAGGGCCGCTCCACTGAGGGAAGGGGCTGGTTTCATCCTCTCATCCATCCTTAGCTTCTGAATGTTGTGACCTCGTCATGCCAAGTGGGGCCAGTTCCCAGGTTTTCATAAATGTCTTCCTCCTCCTTTCAGATCCACATCGCTACAAATACAGTCCAGAGCGTTTGAAGAAGGCCTGGTCATACCAACAAACAGAAGACATTCCCCAGCAAGCCCGGCAGGGGCGTCGGCAATCAGGTGAACAGGGTGGGAGCAGAGGCCTATGCTTGTCAAGGCCATGCTGGGGAATGGGGACTGCTCTTGTAACAACACCCTGTTGGCAGCTGTATGCTGAGCAGCACTGCTTTGGAGGGTAATGGGCCCCCCAGTATCTGCTGGAGGTTTATGTTAGTTCCTATAATTTCATGAGTGGCTTGTTCAGTGGCCTGTCTTCATTATGGGTGAAGTTGTTATTAAGCATTCATATTGCTCAGTTTAGCTGACAGGCGCTCAAGTATCTACTTTGCCAAGGCCCGGTGACCTCTGACACACAACACGCACACACTGAGAGAACATAGTTTTGTTTATGCTGGACAGACCTGTGGGTCACTGTGAACTTCTGTTACTTCTGCATTGGGAGTCAGATGATTTATGAATAGACGTGATGGCTGACATTGCAGTTATTTGGAAAAGAGGAAAATTCAGGGCCTAAGAAAAGGAAGAGAGCAGGAAAGGCCTTGAAAGTGTGCTCAGATGACATACAGCTATTGTTAACACTGTTGTTGCTGTTTGCTGGCGTGGCCAGCAAAACCTTGCAGTTTGGCAGCTTTACAGTTTGATTTATGCAAGACGGGGGTGGTACAGGTCGGCAGGCTGTGAAAGGCATTTGTACAGAGGGATCGGAAATGTGTAAGTCATTTGGCCTTCCGTATGTGTCACAAGATTCCGCTGTCAGGTTCCCTGTCTGTTTCTTACTGGGGTTTAGAACTACATATATGGGTAAACATGAACAAACACTGTAATTCAAAATACTTCAATTCTCCTGGGTCTCCAAAGATAGAGTAATTCAGAAGCTGGCATATTTAAATATCAGCAAAAGTTGGCTGTTAACAAACATTGCCTTAGGTAGTCTTCTTTCTTTTGTTGATGTTGTTCCCTGGAATAAATATGGTGGCACCTGTGCTTGCCATCTGTGGAAGAAGAGAGAATGCTGAAAGGGAGTTCTGTAAAGACTGTGATGGTTTTCCCTAATGAGGTGGTGACTGAGAGATATTTTGGCTTTAACTGGATTTTTTAAAACTATTATTGTAAACCACCTTAAACCATGAGGAAAACAAACGAACAAACAAACATTACAGTGTGGAACTGCCCTGGCTCGTTGCAGGGTTTTAACGACTGATGGGGCTTTCTAAAAACTGTGGGCTTGCACTGCTTGCCAGCTTCTCTGAGCCATCTTGCTGGCTGTTATTGAAATCTGAGAGTGGTCTAGAGACCCCTTCTTTTGACGTTAGGAACGCTTCCCCTCACTTCCTCTATGAGAGGTTGGGCCAAGTTCAAATTCAGGAGCCCAGGAGAGGTCCGAAATGAAGCAGTAGACGCATACTTTGGACCAGCACCCTCTCAGCTTCTGCACTGTCCGTTCTGTTTTGAGGCACCTCTTCACCTCCTCAGAAGTCTTCCCTAGGCCCCTCCGCCTGAGGCTCCTTGCATAGGGAACTTTGGAGCTGAGTCCTGACTCTTGAGCCTGAGCCAGCAGCCTCTCCGAGTGGCCCCCAGCGGATCGCTCTTGAGCCTGTTGTACAAAAACAACCACCTTTTGTCAATGCCAGACAAGCTTGTGCAAGAGAGGGCAGGCCGGCTCCATTTCACTGAATCATGTACGCTGCAATTTGTGTAAAAAAGTCCTCACAGATGAGGTTCTGAATTTCTTTTGACCTTCCTCAACCTCTTGCTCTAACGAAGAGTGCTCTTGTTGTTAACAGCTGTCATAATTTTTAGGAACCTGGTATCTAAATTTCTTGCGATGAAACCGAGAGCTAGCCATTTAGACCATGTTTGTTCTGTCTTCAGAAACATAAGAAAGTTAAATCCAGGAAACATGGGGGAATCCCCAGGCAACTATAGATCAACTTATAAGAGTTGAACATGGGTTAATGGCACACGTTGGCTGTGTTGGCTTTGGGGAAGGTGGGGGCAACAAGCAACCGTTTACCCACAAGGCTAATTAATTGTATTGTTTTGTGAAAGGTGTATTTATAACATTTTAGTCTTTGGTTGTTGTGCCAAGGGAGATCAGTTGTGCCTAATTCTTATTTGCCTCAAACCTATATTTATGCATCAGATAAAGGCAATTCTCTAGAGGAACTTGGGGCGGGGGGTAGCTGCAACCTTCCCCTCTTCTTGAATGCTCTGGATTATCCACAGGTGCTGAGAGAATGTGCCTTTATTGAGGAGATACTGTAATGCACCCTTGAAAAATGACATCTGGTTCTCTTACAACAGACCATCCACAGCAGCAAGTGTATTGAAACTCAGGGGGCAAAAACCCTGAAGGGGAAAAGGCCCAGTATTATAAGAGACCTCATGATTATTTAGTCCACCTTGTTCCTTGAGAAGTAAGATATCAGAATGTTACTTAAACCTGCCCTAGAAAACGTCTTCAGCAAGGCAGGCCTTGTGGAACATTCCCTGGGAAACAGCACTGGCTCTAACGGCTGTCTTATGTCCCACCTTTAGAACCTTTCCATGGCAGAAACAGTGCTGAGAAGCTCCTAGAGGGACTCCACAGCTCTGCTTCACAGCGTAGCGGCCGCCGACAATCTGGTGCGGGCTCCCTTCATTCAGCATGTAGCACAAAGTTTTTCTGCAGTATGGTGTCATGGACTGGGAGCAAAGAATTGGAGGGATTCTGACCAGAGATCCCTGCCCCGCAGCTTTCTCTGTAGTGGATTGTTGGTGCATGCTTTGTCTCTAGGGCAAGGTGATGGCTGAACATGCTTCTTAGTTCCCAGCTACCGTGATGGCTGATATTGGCTCCTAAAGTCTTAGAGGCAAGGACCCCCCCCCCCCCCCGGGTCTCGCCAGAAAAATTCCAAATTCTTTTCAAAACATGAATCTTCAAAGCAAAATAAGTGGTGCACAATAAGAAACTATGCAGCTATCCTTGCTAAATAAGTACAATCTGTTCTGCTTACAGAATGTAGACATTTGCTTTATGGAAATTTGAATATTTGTGGCAGGAGGGGGGGAGTACACACAGCCTTGTCTGTAGAAATGGAGATGGAAGAAGGCAGGTCTTTGTTTTAACTTGGTGGCCTTTCTGGCCTTTCAGGTCCTTTAATGTTGGTGGCTTGCAAGCCCACAAGGCTGGTGCACGATGGGGGGGTGTATTTGAGAGGCCTTTTCTCCCCTGACCAGTGGAGGCTGGTGCTCTTCTGCTCTGCACTTGGATGCTTCAAGGTGTTTGCTTCTGGATGGGCTGAGGCTGGTGCTGGGTTACTTCTGGGACGATTTGGGTACTTCTGGGCTCTGAACCAATAACTGGATTTCAGGGACTGATTTTAGAAACTTTGGTTTTTCTCACAGAGCCAACAAAACAAATCCTCAAGCAACTGAATAACAAAGGTGAGTAAATTTCCCCCTCCCTCCCAGCCTATGTGAAAGAGGTTCTATATGCCATGGGGCTTCCCTCAGCAGGGTGGGCTCTGAGAGGCGCCTGACCCTGCTGGTTTCAGATTCATTCCAAAGAGCCACTGTGAGCGCAGGATGGGTCTCTGTCATTAGACCCAGGCAGTTTTGGTGTTGAAAGATCAAGCAGGACATTTCTCCATGTTGAATAATTCCCACCTGGTTCCTTTACACATTCAGCAATAGCGTTCTGTTGATGTAGGGCCCACCCGTCGCCTTTCTTGGGGTGGGGGGGTAATCACTGCACTCATTGAAACGGAGTATGATCATCTGCTTGTAGAGCAAGTGGCTCCGCTTGACTGTGGTCACTTCGGGTTATATCGAGTACATCTGAAACAGAAACAAAATACTGGGAACTGGGACTAGTGAGGAAATAAACTGAAGCTAGCGGAAGCCCCTCCCACTGCTGATAACTGTCTTTCTCCCCACCCGCTCTTCTCTTTCCATGTACTGCAAATATGGCAATAGGACTAAAGGTAAGATCAAGAAACTGTGGAAGGGGAAACATAGGAGGGATAGGGAACGGTCTTTTTTAATGGTTCAAGGTGTTGGTTGACGGAGGGTGGGCTTTTGGGTGCCTTACAAAATGTTCTCCACAATGAGTACTTGCTGCCCACAGTTGTAGTCTCCAGAAGAGTGAGAAGGAAGTTAGTCCTGCTTGTGGATAAGAAGCACATACAGATGAGGCAGGCAGGGATGTGAGGAATTGACCCCAAAGGATGTCTCCGCTGGCCTCTCAGCAAGATGTCTCGCTTGCCCCCACTTCAACTAGCATGCAGGTAGTGATGGTGCTCTTCTAGAGTTTGGGGAGCCCCCACAGCCCTCCGACAGCTTGCCCCGACAGGAGGATCAGCAGCGGCAGCAGACCTTTCCCCAGGAATGTCTGGAAGAGTTGGCTGAAAGTGATGGCAGCGAGAAGGAGATGGGGCCCGAGGAAGAGGACGAAGCCGAGGAGGAGGAGGAAGAGGAGGAGGAGGAGGAGGAGGAAGAGAGGCTGGTAGGAACGGAACAGGCGGCAGACTTTGCAAGCTCCTTGATGGCAGTCCTCCATTGCTGGCACTATCGGGCCAACGCTTTGCTTTTCTCTTGGGGCAGCACGGTGAGGTGCCTGTTCAGCCTCTCCCTTCATCCCCCTTACGCATGCTGGCTTGATGCATGGCTCTCACCTGCCCTCTGTCCCTTTTGGCTGTCTTCTCTACGGTCTCCCAGTTAACCAGGTTTGGCGACGGAATGGGAACACTCACAGGCAACTTCACAGCTAGCTGCTTAACCCTTCAGTTGTGCCAACGACTTGACGTACTCTGTACTTTGCACACTCCCACTCTGGCTAACAAGATTTATGGTTTGTTGACCAAAGAGGCTGGTTGGTTCTGAGAATCTCTGTCTCCACGGGAGGCCCCTTTTCCTGCAGTTCTTTTCCTTTTGCTAGGAAAGGTCCACCTTAGCAGGTCTGAGAATACAATGAAGCCGATATTCTTTCCCAAGTCCTGGTGTCCACAATATTGGACCCTTACTGGATTCAGCAGTAAGGATGAAAGCTGTAGGCATAGCTGTAGACAGGAGCAGATGTGGGGATTTGGCTGTGGGTGAGCTCCGCTACCCGCACTCCTAGCTCTGGTTGTGGTAAAGTCAAATCAGTCACCCACTGGCTGAATCCTGATTGATCAGTCATCTGTCTGGCCCTTTGAAATAATGTTAAGGGTTTTAAAAACAACGTTTAATAACCCCTGGAGGTTATTTGGAGAGGAAGACTTCATGGTTGATACAAAGGCTGGCCACTCATTTCTCTGCAAACTTAGTTTTTTTGCCAAGAACTAGGTAAACGAGTCCACCCTGTATATGATCAGGACAGCAAGGCTGTCCATGTGTCCAGATAGCAGTGTGTGTGTGCTCTATAGACATCTCACTGCTGAGGCTGCATCTGTCTTCACCTTATGAGGATCAAGTCTGGAAAGCTGCCAAGTGAGCGACTGATTGCAGAGTGGCAAGCAAACCAAAGCTGCCAACATTTGCCTTCCTTTGCCATTTGCTATGCGCCAACCACGTGGCGTTATAAAGCATAAATTCTTAGTCTGTGGATCCTACAAATGGTCAATATAGTCCAGTATTTTGCTTCACATCAGATGCCTCCAGAAGGCCTGCAAGCAGGGCATGGAAGCCAAGACTTCCTCCGGGATTGATGCCAGCACTAATATTCAGAGGTGTATATACCGCCTTTGAACATGGAGGTGTCATTCAGTCATCATGGCTAATAGCCAGTGGCAGACCTATCCTCACATCTGATTTGCTAGTGACCATCCCTGTGTAGGAGGTGGTTTTGGTTGTTTTGCCCAGGGGCTGGACTAATAAACTCAAACCTGCACAGGAATGCTTCTTCACCCAAGAATGACATTAGGTGGTTGGGACAAGCTGCTATCTCTGCCTTCATCTGTAAAATGTCTTGATACTAACACTAATGACCTGATTCACAACCAAATGAAAACAGGATTGTAAGGTGTTTCGGAAATGGTGGATGGCAGTGGCTAAGGGTGTCCAGTTGCTCTTGTCCTGGCATCCAATAAGACAACAAGGTTCCCTTCCCAATGAGTGCTCAGTCTTCTAAACTGCATTTTCTTTTGGGCCAGGGCAAGGACCGCAAGACACAAGAAGGGCACAAGCAAGGCCAGCCTCCGGGAAGCAGCGAGAAGGCCTGGATCATGGAGGCCGCCTCCACAGTTCTGAAGGTGAGGGGGTGTGTGTCTCTCTCCCCCCTTGGCAAACTGCACGGCCACTCCTGCCGGTTTTTGTCTTTGCCCTTCCCTTGAAATAGTGGATTCAGAAGTCTAGGCCAGGGGGGTCGAACTCATATGTTATGAGGGCCGGATCTGACATAAATGAGACCTTGTTGTATGTGTCATAAAATGTAATGCCAGGTAGTGGAGATATAAACTTTATAAAGGATAGAGACAAACACAATTAAAGATTTTTTAAACTTTAAATAAAACATGCTTAAAACATTAGCACTCTTGCAATATGTTGTCAAAGGCTTTCACGGCCAATTCTTGAGTATGCTGTTCAGGTGTGTATCTGTAAGCTGCAAATCTACTTTTGATTTATTGACATTCATTATAGAAATCTCATGCTGAGTTCTTTGAGCCTAGGACCCAGGGGAAAACATGAAATGGCTGGGCATGGTGAACTTTTGTACATAAGTTGCTTCGTTTGCTATGTGTTTGTCTACAAAACTATAGTCTTCCCCAGAGAAATAACTACAACTTCCTACAAAGGAAATATGCTGGGTGAACGTGGTCTGGATGCACACTCTCAGCCTAATCCACCTCACCTCACTGGCTTCTTGTTAGTCCTCCGTCTAAAAAGTTCACATTACTTTCTTACTGAGAAAGACTGGATCATGAGGGCATGAATACAGTGAAAAGGGGGAGGGAACCCAGTTGCACCCAGGAGAGCCCTGGCATAAGGAGCCCAAACACACACACACACACACACACACACACACACACACACACACACAGCATAAGGAGCCCAACAGAATATACACACATTGTAGCAAGGCACACAAAAGCTCATACCTTGAACAAAACTTTGTTGGTCTTAAAGGTGCCTGGTATTTCTGCCGTGTGATTGAGGCAACCCAGCAAAGCAAGCTCTCCCTTGTTCCCTCCCTCCCTGTCTCCCTTCAGGGAGGAGCCTCAGCTAGTGGAAGGAAAGAAAGGCTTCCCTTTGTCTCCTGTGTATGATTTAGGCAGCAGGGCCAGGAAGTGAGCTATGGCTGGCTCCCTTTCTCCCTCTGGGAGGAGGAGGGAGAGGAGCCTCAGCCAGTGCTTTTCCAGACTCTCTCAATCGCACAGGAGAGGCTTGCCTATCTATCTCTCCTGTGCAATTGAGAAAGTATGGTAAAGTAAGCTGTAATGTAGCAGCAGAACTGGAGAAAGAAGCAGGAAGCAGACAGGACCTTGTGGGCCAGATTGCAGCCCTCCGAGGGCCTGATCTGGCCCACGGGCCACATGTTTGCCACCCCTGGTCTAGACCATGGCCATTCTGTTTCCATGATCTAAAGTTCTCATATCGGCTACAGCAGGGGTCCTCAAACTTTTAAAACAGGGGGCCAGTTCACTGTCCCTCAGACCGTTGGAGGGCCGGACTATAGTTTAAAAAAACCCTATAAACAAATTCCTATGCACACTGCACATATCTGCAGTTTGGCACCCCTGAGGGCCAGCGGGCCCTAGGCGAGCCGGCCCTGCCAGCGGGCCGGATAAATGTTTTCGGTGGGCCGCATGTGGCCCACGGGCCGTAGTTTGAGGACCCCTGGGCTACAGTATCCTGTTTACTTCCAGACATTCCAGACATCCATCTCCTACTGAGCCAACATAGGGACAAGTGTATGGAAAGCCTGGACTTTAAATCTTAACTCCGTTGAGATGTAGCAATGGGCTGCATTTAAATAGGAAGAGTTTGCTTTTTCTAAACACCCATCTTTAATTAACAAGGCTTGCATAACAGATAGATGAAGCATTCCTGTTTTTTTCACTTCCTCTTTCACGTGTGTTTGGCAGGCTCGACCAGCTGTGGAGCTTGACAGAGTGGCAGAGGGTTCTCCCTGTAAGGAAGAGTGCCCAGAAGAGAATCCTTCAGACCCTGAGTCAACGAATCCTCCAGAGCCAGCCTTGGTAGACCAACACGGAGCCCTGCATCAGCATTCCGATGGCCTGGAAGCCACTGAAAACACAGAAAAGCCACTTAGCAGTGAGGAAGAGGAAGAAGGAGAGGAGGAGGAGGAGGAAGAGGATGGAAGTGCGCCCCCCCCAAGAAGCATCCTTCCTCTCTCTGTGCTAGATCAGGCTAGCATTATTGCTGAGCGCTTTACTAGCAGCCTCTCTCGCCGAAGCAGCCTGGCTCTAGAGGAGGGGAAGGGCTTCCTGATCCCCAAGCAGGACAGTCGGCGCGGCAGCGTCCTGAGCCTGGAGGGCAGTGAGAAGGCCACCTGCCACAACAGCGGCATCTCCGAGTCCCAGAGCTACAGCCTGCCACAGGAGCCCCCGGCTGAGCCCATCAGTGCCTGCAGCGAGCCAAACTCACTGGGTCCAGTCGAAACCGATCGCGCTCCCTGTAGGCGGAAGGAGTCCATGCTGTCTCAGCAGGACCGGCTGCTGTTGGATAAGATCAAGAGCTATTATGACTATGCTGAGCATCAAGATGCCGGCTTCAGCGTCAGGCGGAGGGAGAGCCTGTCCTATATCCCTAAAGGGCTGGTGAGGAACTCTGTCTTCAGGATCAACAGCCTCCCCCAGCCAGAACCTCCACAGGAAGTGAGGAAGAGAGCAGGAACCTCCGTCGGTCGTGGAGCCTGTCGGACGGCCGCCTGGGTACTCTCAAACAGGCCTGCTGCTGCGCCCCGGGCTGCCTGCTCTGAGCCAGGCCGTGAGGACAACTCTCAGCCTATCAGTGAAGCAGAATTCAGGCCACCTGCCGAGATGATTAAGATCTGGGAGGAGATAGAAAAGTCAAGAAGACACCTGTGGAACGGAAAGGCTGAAGAGGGTGGCAGGTCAGGCAATAAGGCAAATGGACAGTGTGCCGAACCTTCCTTGAGGAACAGGCTCAAGAGCCAGGAGAATGGCTTTGACCTCCACGAGCCACTTCTCATCCTGGAGGACGAGGCTCTGGGAGCTATAGCAGAAGAGTCTGCTGCGCCCTCCCCAGAGAACAAGTCTCCTGTGGAACGAGCGGTGCCTTCCAGAGTGCCCTGGAAACCAATGCCAGAGCTGGGGAGTTACGAGCCAGAGCAGTGTCCCCCTCAGCTGCACCCCCGTATCATGCAGCTAGCCCACCTGACAGAAACGGAGCTGACAGAAAAGATGCAGAACAAGGTGTACCAGCTGGCCCGCCAGTACAGCCTCCGGATCAAGGACCACAAGCCTGCAATACACAGGCGGCTTACTGAACTGGAGGAGGAAATGAAGGGCAATGCTACGACTGGCCAGCAGGAGGCAGACAAGAAGGGCAGCGGTAGGTGACACCCCTCGGGCCTTGTACTGTATGGATTATGGTTGTGCCTAATGGCTTTCTGGGGCGGGCTCCTGTCCCTGACTTAGCTTCCCTCCCAATGGGCAAGCCATGGACAAAGCAGTGCCCTTGAGGCTCCTTACCCAGAGAGGGAGGCAAGCTGGGAGCCCAGGAACAGTGGCCAGCTTGGAGGGGCAGGCAGTGGCAGGCCCCAACCAGGTCGTGGGCCCCACCACTGCAAGAAAGGAAGCTGAAGACCTGGGTGGCGGCGGCAGCAGTGGTGGCAGCCTGTGAGGGCGAGGGCTGGCAGCTGGGGAGGACCATGGTAAGAAGATCGGGGTGGGGGGCTGGGCAAGACAGACAGCAAAGGACAGACAGCCCTGAGAGTGGGTGTCCACCCTCCTTTTATCCCATCCAGGAAGAGGTGGAGCCAAACCCTGACTGGAGCAAAGGTCCAAGGGTGGGGCCAAGGGTAGTATATAAGGGAGGCTTCCAAGCCAGGCGGGAAAGGATACACCCAGCGGAGGACACAGGGCCAGAGAATGAGGGAGAGAGAGGCGCCAAGGCTGTGCTCACTTGGAGGGCGGGAAGCGGACCGGTGTGCTTGGGGGAAAAAAAACCCGTCCCCATTCTGAGGCTGGCCCAAACACATCCAGGGTGGCAGAACATCCAGGGCGAGCCAGTACGGCAAAGGGGGAGCCGCACACCCACACAAAAGGTTATGAAGATAATAGGTAAAGGAGAGTCAGTCTCTCTCTCTCTCTCACACACACACACAGTTTCATTCAATGTATTGTTTTATCTGGTTTATGTATGGGTGCATGCCCCTTGTAAGCCGACCTGAGCCCGCTTGAGGGGAGGGTGGGGTAAAAATGTCTTAATTAATTAATTAATAACCCACCCCATCCTTATGGGCTCATGACCTTTATAAAAATGAATACTGCTATGTCAAGTGTCAAATATAAAGTGTTTTGTATAATGTTTTCAGATTCACATTTGGCGGGGGGAAAGACGCTGCAAGGTGCTGACGGGTGGCCTGTTCTTTAGCAGCCCTTAGCGCCATCTCTCCGTACTTGGAGACCCTGTATTTGCCCCATTTAAGAAATGGTTTCGGTATCAGGAGACACACTGTGAGCCAGCACAACCGACTGGGCCCGAGCAGTGCTTTCTAATTGAGCAAGGAAGGGAGAGAATGCCTGACTGTGGGGGTCCCCTGCTCGAGGGGCACATTGCATGGGAATGGGTGCTGAAAGTTAAGGCCCATTATGGCTTAAACGCCTAAAGCCCAGGTTGGTGGCCTGTCTTGCAAAGCCTTTCAGCTTCTTAAGGGAGCTTATTATCCTCCTGTTTCTTTCCCTGAAGCAATCCTGAGCCCTGTGTGCCTGACACTGCATCTTTAGAAATAATTATTCTCAGGGCTCTAGTCGGGGGGGAGCTCTCAGGTACGGAGCTCCGGAAGAGAACCTCTAGGGGGCGGGGCGGTCACGTGGTGAAGCCCCGCCCCCTTCTTTACCCCGCCCTCTGCTTCGATCCTCATTCCGTTTGGGAATGAGGATGAAGCAGGAGGGTAAGTAGCCGGGCCTTCTGACACACTTCCGGTGATGTCAGGGGGTGTGGCCTTCTGTCACTTCCGGTGATGTCAGGGGGCGTGGCATATGCAAATAAGTTATGCTAATGAGTTATGCTAATGAGCTCCGGCAGCTCTTTTTCTACAACAAGACCCCTGATTATTCTGCCTCAAGTGAAGCCGAATCCTGCTGCCCCCGTGCAAAGTGTGCATGGCGTGTGTGTCTGTCTCTCTGTTCATTCTGGAACACCTGCTTCCTGTACATGACCTCACCTGGCACAGGGGGATATCCTCAATCTGCTCCTCTGACTCTCAAAAGCGTAGGCTGTAATAAGTTTTGTTAGTCTTTAAGGTGGCAATAAATTCCTGTTCTATTTTGCTTAGGAAGAGGATATGGTGCCTAATTTAGCTTAATTCCTTTCTGTCCTTTATTCTTATTTGGGTTTACAGATGGGAGGGAAGGGGAGTTATCCTCCATGTGAGTTCTTTTTCCTCCGTTCGGCACAGATCGAAGGAAAGGAGCGTTTTTATCCCCCACTGGGAGACCTCACGCAGGGCCCGGCTCCAGCTCCTATTCTCTGAGGAATGAGTGCTGCCTGGAGGTTTGCCTTGCTCCTCCATAACATGGCTGCTTCACAGACCCCGTCTAGATCCGCCTTTGAGCTTATGGTCAGGAGAGTTGTGAGGGTGAGCAGAGGAGCCTTTGCTCTCTTGCTTTCTCCCTTCTCAGAGGGGGCCACCGTCTTGCCTTCCCCGGCTGTGTCCAGCCCACAGGAGTCCTGGGACGAGGGACTTCTCAGGAGAGCTCTGCCAGGGAAGCTCTTAGGCCCTTGAACAGGTTAAAGGGGGAGGTGGCTGGCAGAGGTCTCCAGGGTTTTGCCGCTGCCTTACTGCACCAGCACTGCCTCACTCATTCCCTGCTGCTTTTTCTCCTAGGCAAGAGGAAGCCAGCCTTGTCCCTCCTCAATTATGAACAAGTTGTGCTGCAGGAATCGAGTCCGCGCTTACTGCTTTCCTCTTCTTCTTCCTCTTCTCCTCCTCCTCCTCATGAGAAGTCACCCAAGCGCTTCTCCTTCAGCCCCTGCTCCAGCAGCCCCCGGCTCCCTTCCCCTGCCAGTCCCCTGCCATCGCATCGGCCCGGCAGTCCTGCCAGAGCGGAGAAGTTCAGCTGGCCTGACGTGCGGGAGCTGCGGTCCAAGTATTCCTGCCAGGCAAGGACTGAGAAGTGCTGGCCACTGCCTGTCAGCAGGAGCCGCTCAGCCCCTGAGAAAATGGTGGACACTAATAGGATGCTGGAACACCAGTGCTCAGAGGGCCACTTGAAGAGGGAGACAGGCCAGCCGGGGAGGACCCGGAGCTGCAGGGGGCCGGCGAGGGAGACGTCTGACTTCCTTCCCAAGGCCCAGGCACTCCTCCCTACGCAGGAGCAACTGTGTGTGACGGCTGAAGCCCTGCTGGAGAACAGCCACCCGGTGATCGTCATGGAGAAGCTACCGGGTATTGCTGGTGAGCCCGATGAGAGCTATGTGCAGATCCGCTCCCCTACCTCCCGGGAGAAGATCTCTCTCAAAGCTGTGGCAGAGCGGTGCAAGGCCTACCAGGACTCCGAGGAGTACCAGAAGCATCAGGAGAGCATTCAGGAAGCGGAGAAGACACCTCAGCCACTATGGAGGGAGAGAACAGACAGCAACCAGCAAAGCCTGGTGAAGAACCTGCGGGGGAAATTCCAGACCCGCAATCCCAACAGTTGAGCCATAAGGGCCCCTCTCGCTCCCGTGCCACTAAAACCTACTCGGAGCTGGGAAGCTGTGGTGTCAGCCTTTGAGGAAATAATGATCATTCGCACCAGCTTCTTGGAAGGACAGACAGCAGAGTCCCTTTTGCACTGTGGTCCCCACTACATGGACACCTGACCATCTAGGAAGCGACAGCCCCCTTCGTCCTGTCTATGTGTTTTGAGCATGGTTGCACTTCTTCATCAACACTGCAGCACCATAAGCCTGTTTTCATCTTGCTGCAGGCAGTATCGTTGGGCGGTTCTGCTGCAAGTCTGAAGGCGCTTCCCCCCTAGAGCAGGCATATGCCATAAGTCAGCTGTTCGTAAGTCCTGCTAAGAAAAAGATGTATTCTTGCCTTCAGGACCAAAGCGTGGCTAGGAAGTCTCTACTTTGTCATGACTGAGCAGGAACAAGTGCTCCTTCTACTGCTCAGGCTCATAGGAGAATAAGTTATTGTTCCAAGGTTTTGTTTTGTTTTAGAATGTAATTTTATTGAGGTTGGGAGTTTTGATTGGTTCCAGGCCTCCTACTCTGCAAATATATTATCTAATAAGGATTGTGTACACATTTCAGTCTGTACGCACTGTACAATAACCACTTTTGACCAGAGCGTGGCTTTGTTTTCTTCACTGAGATTGGGTGTGTGGCAGGGGTGGTGGTGGAGAGGATCGAAAGTTACCACAGTCGTTAGTTTTTCACTGTATCTCATGTGCACAAAGCGAAGACTGATAATGTTCTTGGAGTCACAGACTTCTCCAAGATGGCAGAGGATGGCAGGGGGGCTGATCAAATTAATTGTTGTGCTGAGATAGTTCAGGTCCTGCAGCCTGTCTGTCTCCTCCTGTAGAGTCTCACATCCCCAACCCAGCTGCCTACCTTGATCGGTGATTTGGCACCATGTGCCTTCCTGCCATTGGTCAGATGCGAGAGAGATGCTCTGGGGTCACCTGGAGGGCCATACTCAATTTTCACATCATTCTTCATTCTGTCAGTTTCAGCTGTTGCAGTGCACTGAGCTTTCCCAAGCACATCCATCACCTCTCCTTTAGATCTCAAAAAATCATGATGTTCATGAATAGTTTTCAGAATCGTAGCCTGGAGAAATGATGCCCCTCCCTACTTAAAAAGCTTCAGAGGGAAAACAGTATAGTACTACTTCATTCTCAGATGCTATCAGTGTGGGGCAGGAGAAGTAGTAGGCAGATCGGAGGGAAAAAACTAACCAAGCTTGGAGTGGGCAGAATTCCTGCCTCACTGTATACTACAAGGTAGAGTTGATGCCAGTATTTCCAGCTCTTTGTAGCCAGGCTTCATGGCTCACTTGACACGTGGAATCCATATCTGAGAATCTTTTATTGATTTGAATTGGTGGGTGAGTGAAACCCTTGTATGTTTGTGCACTACACTTAGCAAGGAGACATAGAGATTTGAGGAAGAGGGCAGACACAGAGCAAAAAACACTAGAGGAAGTACATGAAACCCAGAGTGCCCATCAGTGGGTTGGGAAACAAGCAGACGGGGCACTACAGCGATGGGGCAAGGTGTGAAGAGACCCCTGTGAAAGAGGCCGAATGGTGGGGCTGCAGAGAGATGAGAGGGCCATGCGCTATTTGGGTGGGGGACAGGACAAAGAAAATAGGGTGGTAAGCAAGAAGGGCTTGCAAATAATACTTGAGTTAAAAGTATTTCAAAACTGTTTTCTACTGTGAATACAATGATGATGTCTTCAGGAGTTAGTAAAAATGTAAAAAAAAAAAAAGACCCTCAGAGTGGCTTTAGTTCTCCACCATTAAGCCAAGTAGAATCTGTTCTTGTTAAATTAGGGTCCCCAATATAGCATAGTGTACTGACATTGCAGCCCTATGTAGAGTTACTGCAGTATAAACCCATTAAAAAGAACTGGCTTAGACTGGAGTGACTTTGCACAGGACTGCACTGGTAGTATCTATGTGCTTCTGAGGCTTGGCTCCTGTAAATTTCTCATAATGCCATTGTTGCCCCATCACATGGCAAAGGAGCCTTACTTGTGGGGTTTTAAAATTTAGTAGAACATACAAAAATCAAGAGAAATGTCCCAAACATGTGTAAGAAAAATCTTTGAACTGTACCACAGCAGGCCCATGTATGTATGTGACATGTGGAACTTAGAGGTTTAACCCAGATAATGCTTTAGTAAAACTCTGGTCTCCATGCAGTACCTTGGATTCTGTGAACACGGTTTGTGTGCACTAGATAAGTCTCCACTGGGGAGTGCATTTCCTCTTCCTCTAAAAATTCATTTGCTCAAGATCAGTAGTTTTCAATGGGTCCCTGTGCAAATGTAATTTTTAGAGGAAGCGTACTCAATGGCAAAGACTAGTGCACATGGAGTTCATCGAATCCAAAATAGTGCTTCTTTCTGATTATTATAAGAGACTACATGAATACTAAAAGCACTCGACGTACCACAGTCCTTGAAAGTAAACCAGCATTATTTACTGCTAGGAATAAGGCTCGTTGTGGAAATAAATACAACGAGCTCTAGAAAGAGGCTCTGGGCAGGTGCCCTGGCCTTGGGCACTCCACGTCCATTTGCTGTGGTGACCTCAGCAGGGTATAATGACAGAGCTTACTGTTTTCTCCAGGAGAACCGATCTCTGCCATCTGAAGAGCAGTTGTAATTCTGAGTGATCTCCAGCTCTCCCCTGGAGATTGGCTACATTGGTTCCCCAGGAGGAAATGGCTCATTTGGAGGGTGGATTCTCTGCCATTGTACCTGTCTGAGGTCCCACCCCTTCTCAAACCCCACTCTCCAGACTCCACCTCTCAAATATCCAGGAATTTCCCAACCTGGAGGTAGCAACCCTATTTCCTTCCCAGCCAACCATCGACATACCGTTATCTGCCCCTCTGACTTCAGGTTTCCATCTCTTTTCTCCTACCCGTAGCCTCTACCTAGGAAAACTACAGTCTTTCTCTGCAGTGGGGACCAAGCAGGAGGGAAGCAACCTCAGCAGGGTATAATGACAGAGTCCACCCTGCAAAGCAGCCTTTTTTTCCAGGGGAACTGATCTCTGCCATCCGGAGAGCAGTTTTAATTCTGAGTGATCTCCAGCCCTCACCTAGAGATTGGCAGCAATGGTTCCCCAGGAGGAAAATTACAGTCTTTCTCCGCAGTGGAGGCCAAAGCAGCTTACTCCGGATATCACAACTGAACTCCAGACAACAGATCCCCCCCCCCCCCGAGAAAATAACTGCTTTGGAGGGTGGGCTCAGTGGCATTCTGTTCAACTGAGGCCTCTCCCCTCCCCAAACTCTGGCTTCCATAGACTCCACCACAGAATATCCAGGAATTTCCCAATCTGGAGCTGGCAACCCTAGTCAGGACTGGCCCCAATGAGTTCCCCACAAAGGCCTGGAAAAGGCCTCCTGGCTTTGCCTTTTTACTGACAGAACCAAGCTTGGTTGCCTAGCAACAGCCACTGAGGGAAACCTTAGTCCCACAGGAGCCAAGAAGGAGAAGTGTCTTTGTCAGGAGACACAGCCTTTTTGGCAGTTATTTTCTGTGAGAGAAAAGTGTCCAGGCTGGCAGTGAGTGGGGGAGAGGAGCGGATCCAGCACTCAGCCAATGGCACGTGAGTACTCTTGAGTGGCAGTTGATGGGCCAATGGGAGAGCTGGAAATGGCCAATACATAAGGGAATTATATATATAGGATGCCATGTGACAGTGGCTTACCCAAGGCTAGCTGGTGAAATCATGGTTGAGATAAGACAGCTTTCCCTCAAATATTTTAGTAGACTTGACAAAAATTACATACAAAATCCCAGAGCCAAGGAGTATTTATTTGTTCATTTATTAGAAAAAAAGTTATTAAATTGCTTCTGAAGCACATTCTGAAGCTTTAGCTCTCTTCTCTGGACAGTGGAAGCACATTGAAGCAGGTGGAACTTGGTGCCCAGCTGTTGAAATAAGAGAATTACTCCTAATTCCATGAATCTGTGGGAGAGATACGGGTTTCCTGATTGCCCTCACTATTCTGAAGCAAACATATTCTGGGCCTGGTGATGTGCTGTTCCCTTTTGAACAGGTCTGGACCCCTACATCAGTGGGATCTTGGAAAGCTTAACAGAATTGAAGTCACTTTTTGCAGCTCCAAGAGCTGAATCGAGCCTTCCAAGAATGGAAGAGCTGAGCAGGCCTATAAGCCACCAGACAGCAAATGGTTCCTGTCAGGCTAAGAACATTGCTCCTGTTCTCTAAGGGGTAGGAGCACAATGCAGAGAAACATAGGGGCACACAGACAGCTGTATTCAAAACCTGCCAAACTGGAACCAAATCTTAACAGAGGTCTGGAAGCATGGTCCATATGGTGTCTACAGACAATGATTAAAGCTACATGAAAGTAGAAAATGTACACAAGCTATACAGCAACTTCTGAATAACACACAGCGCAGGGCAGTGGCCACACAGCAGAGACAGTCGAAAAGTAGAAAATGTACACAAGCTATACAGCCACTTCTGAATAGCACACAGTGCAGGGCAGTGGTCACACAGCAGAAGCAGTCGAAAGCATTTTAGCCTAGGTTTTTTGAAAATCAGCATCATACTATATGTGAAGCTCAAGAGTGACAGGTCACCGTATCGCCCAGGAAAGGAAAGGAGGGCTGAGCTTGCTACCCAGAGTGCCTGTGAGGTCCAAGTGCTGCTGGGTAGCATGTTCAGTGGCTGTTTCTTTTCCTGGTGGTATTTGCAGGAAAGTCTTGACTCGGTCCATCTTTTCATGTGCCTTGTTCTTCCAGGAGAACCCGCTGCCAGCTTCCAAGTCCCTCGTGCTCCTTGCCTGTTGCCTCTCTTCCTCTTTGGCTGTGAAGATGGTCTCATACAAAATTTGCCCAATGGAATTTAAAGCCTCTCTGCAGTGTTCGTGATATTAACGACTTTTCTATGCCCAAACTATTCTGTATTCATTTCAGAATGTATTCCTATCTTTAGCATGGACCGAAAGGGTAGGGGAAAATCCCCCATCTTTCATAGCACCCTGATCTGGGTTATGACAGGGAGGTTGGAGCATTAAGAGTGCCGCTGCTCCTTGGTGAGTGAGTGAGTGTGCAGAGGGGGAACTACTGGAGGGATAGGATGGGTAGCCCTTTCCTTTCAGGGTAGAACATTTACTGCAAACAGATGCAGAAATCCCAGGCTGATCATATGAGACAAGGTACTTGCAGCCCTTCAAGAGAACTAAACTTCCAGGCTGCAGTCTTGACATGCCTCAGGGCATCCTGCTCTCATACTCTGTTACCTCTCAGCGATTCGCATCCACCCAGAGCCCACGCGTGCACATGCATACAACAGCCCAACCCTTGACCAGAGTTGCATGCACTGATTTATTTATTTATTTATTATGTATTATTTTCTATTTGTATCCCGTCTTGCCGGCGAACTGGCAATGGAGGATTGAAATCAGTGGCACAACTGCAGTACGGTTGCCAATTCACATGGCTGTTGTCGCCATGCGCTGTCTCACCTCTCTGCAAGAACGATGAGATTTTACTTTGAGGGTGGGTGCGGCACCACTTGCTTGTCTGAGCTGCCAGTTCCAAAGCACTTGGAGGCCTTTCAAT